TTTTTTTTTTTTTTTTTTTTTTTTTTTTAGCGCACTTTTATCGAGCGTCTCGGTCAGTACCGGAGCCGTCGTCGAGTCTCGCGTGAGCAGCGCAGCGGCGAAAAGGGAGCGCGAGGAGACCGGAGGGAGGCCCTGCAGAGACTAACGTGGAGACTAACGAGCTTAATTAACGTCAGCGGAGAGCTGCGCGCGCGTGTGTGTACAGCGGCGTTTCTTGCTGTACTAGCCGTGCATCAGGAGAGCAGGAGTACACTTCATTCAGCGGCTCACCCAGCTAGCTGTTATGGCTAGGCTGTTTATTAGCTAGCGCGGCTAAGCTAGCTGCCATACAACCCTAGGCCATTTTCCTCATAGGTAGGTTGCGCGACATGCGTGAAAGCAAGCTACGCTGTTTGCGTTGCGTAACCTGCCTCAGTCTGAGTGCGCGGTGCGTAACAAAGCGCGCGGGTTTCTTTTCGGGAATGTCAGCGACACTACGCAATATATTTCCACAATAATTGCGTAGGCTCGCGTTTATCTCAACTAAACGGCTTTTTTTTTTTTTTTTTTTAAAAGAATGGTATCTTTTTTTTTTTTTTTTTTTTTACATTTGTGATACGTTTCAATTTTGACGTTCGGCTCCAAAACCGTACTGCATACTACCGTACTAAACTAAATAGCATGGAGTATGTCAACAGTTCATACGCCACAGCGCTCGTTCTTCGTAGTACAGTAGTATGCAGTCAGGCTGAATCCCAAATAACGACACGCTTCCTATTTGAGTGCACTACATTCTCTGTTTTCGTGTATGCATCGTGTCTACGTCCTTCCTAGTGCCCTAGGTGTCCATTTGTGATTCGGCCACCCCTGCCGTGTCAAACCGTAGCCGGTCAAGCTAACGTTAGTTAGCTCGGCGAAAAAATAAGTACAGCGCAGACGTTATTGCCGCTTTTTTTGTTGCCTTGTTATTGTTATTCATGTTTTAACTGCGTTTTGTGTTGGCGTTTAATTAAATATAGAACACGAATATTAAGTATCTGTGTATACCGTTGACCACAAGTGCTAACTGGGCGCTTGAGAATAAGGACTCCGAGGCTGTAACGCAGTGGTCGCCATTTTGTGCGCTACCCGGAGGACCGGAGAGAGAGAGAGAGAATAACGTTTTCAGTTTAACAGGCGGAAATATCATTGTAAGAAAGTGTCTCATGGCAAATTTGTTTTCACTCCAAACATCTGTCTTCTCTTTAAAAGCGTTTTTGGAAAACAAGTTTTGTTATATTTTCAAACTTGGTCCGCTTGTTCCATGCTAGCATGTTGGCTAGCTAGCAGTCTAGCTAGGGCTTTATTTGTTTTTTTTTTGTTTTTTTTTTGCTGTTAGCCATAATCAGGAGTGCATTTGTAATTTTCAGAATGGATATATTCCTGTTTGTTAGTAGGAGTCTCGTTTCCTAAACCTTCTCTTTTATCACATTTACACAGTAAAAAAAAAAGAAATGCGTTGTTTTTGTTTTGTCCACAAAACCCAGTGAGACTGTCATCTTAGCCATTTGCAGACGTCACTTTTGGACGTTGCTTGCTTTACTGTAGACAGCATCCCTTCTCAGAGGGATTTATTATGATGTTTTGCAGTATAAAAACAACAAAACTGAAACTGAAAACACTTGAAGCCTGCAGCTCGACACAGTGTCCTTACTTGTGTGTTTTTCTCGTGTTAAACGTGGTTTATTTATCAGTTTGTAAAGGTGTTTGTTGTCTGTTTTGCTGCTGTTATCTCAGGCAAACTTTATTTATTTGCATGTGTGAAAAGGTGTAAACTTCAGATCAGTGTGTTTCCTGGTTCAGTTTAGATCAACACCATGAAGACAGAGACGGTGAAGTTTTCTATAGGGAAGTGTTTATTTAACATTCATGGAAGGAGTCTCCAGTGTCAGTGCTTTGTAACGGATATTAAGTTTTCCACCACAGTGAAGTCTTCACGGCACACGCTTTTGCACTTTGCTGTTTCTCGGTACTGTGTGTGTGTGTGTGTGTTTGTTTTCTTTCTGGGTCTAGTTACCTTCAAGAGAGAGAAAAAGAGGCTGGTGAGGGAACGATTGTTTATAGCTGCTATAACGTGAAGAATAACAGGAGCTAGCTTGTTTTGCAGATGTTCTGTAACTATATTTGGTTGAGAGGACGTGCTGTTTTAGGAAAATAATCAACTTCAAGGTGGTAACAGTAACTTCACTTCATCACACCACCCTGTCGTGGATTATTTTCCTATAATAGCACACCCCAAGTGTTGTTTCAGTCTTTTATCGAGCAGAAATTGGTGCGGTTTTGTTTTTTCTCAGCGGTAACAGAACTGACATGAATTACACCCAAAAGAAAAGATGATGTTTTGTTTCTTGTCATTGCAGTGTTTCACTACTTTCTACTCGAGTGACGAGGGCTTATTTGCAGTGCTTGTTACATTTGATTGTGGTTAATGCTGGAGCACTTCTTATAGATGTTAGGTTGCATTAAAAGTGGTTTCAAACCACAACTAGTGGCATGAAAGGTTCATATTTTACAGCTGAGAGTAAGGAGTTCCTTGTCAATCATCAGAACTAAACTCGTGCATGATTTGACGCTTAGTAAAACTCCAAACAGGATGAATTCCTGTCTGTGTGGAATTATGACCAATATGGACAAAAATACGATGCATATCATCGTAGGCTGTATTGTATTTGGTTACAATGTAAGGAAGTGATTCGAATTGAAACTGAAAGTGACTTTTTTTCCTTTGCTTTTGCGAAAAGGTTAAATTGGTGCCACTTTAACCTGCAGCGTGAACTTGGGCATGAGTGCTTGTCTCGTCTTTGTGTGAATTCAGGTTCTTCTCAGGTGTACTGTTTCAGGTGTGCTTTCACATATGCAGCGTTCAGTCTGTTTGAATGGAACCCTGATGGGTTCTCCAGCTCGGTGCGGTTCTTTATGCAGGTCAGAACACAGCAATCACACAACCAGGCCAAGAACGTCTGAGGCCCCGTTCACACCTGGCGTTAACATGCGTCCCGGGTGATGGGATAACAAGCGGACAGTCGAGACGCGTAGCTGTTCACACCTGGCGTTATGAACGCGTCCTCGGTGACCACTTGATCGGATTTCTTGCATCGTTTCCCCTGGAGGAAGGCTGTCATGCACATTTATTACATCAGTCTTCCATAACTTTTATTTTCAGGAAGAAATGTCCCTTGAACGAATCCTCTCTGATGTACCTGCACAGACTGTTTCCCACCTTTTAATCGCATCGTCTGCTAATGAAACTTAGAAATGAATGAGAAATAAGACGACGAATGAAGCTAGAAAAAGCAGCTGCTTTCGTCTCTGATGTTACAGCATTCTCCAGCGAGAAGTTGGTCCTTTGTTGCTGTCCGGTGGCATCGAGACGCAGTCGCGTCCACACTACAGATGTGATGTGGTCATACGCGTCCCAGACCACCTCCGAATGCGGTTTGAGTGATCGGATCGCAGCAAGTC